AATGGAAAGATCATCATCTGCTCTTCAAATGACATCCAGCTTTATCATCAGCAAAGCAGGATTAATTGATTATTACTATAGCTATAAAGAAGGATATGTGCCTGGAATAACTTTGAAGCTCATGAATTATTTAATGAAACGGAAAATCCCTGTCCAGAGAATAAAAAAAGAGCGTTGAGCTTTCTAACTAGTCTGGCCTAGGGTTTCAAAGATAAACACTAGAAAAAAGTTGATCAAAGTTAAAGAAAAAAAGCACACAAAACACTGAAGCAACAAAACTCACCATCAAGAACGTCCCCTCCCCCTGAATAGGAATAAGCTGAAAATAGCAGTTTTCAGGTATTTTTCTTCCTTTCATTCTGCTGCCAGACAGCTTCATTGTCTTAAACTTCTTTAGGTGGTACAAGCTGGGATTCTTCTTATAATTCACTCTCACTTTATGAGTAGTAGAGAACTCATCTTCATCCTTATGCCTGAGACAAATTTTTTCCTATAGTAAATGAATGCCATTCTTCTGGCTTCAACAGAGTTGTATCCACTCCAAGCAGCAGATAATTCTTCCCATTCTTCTTAATTTTAAGTGATGCAAAGGATTTTCATAATGAAGTGAGGCACCATAGATGGGAAACTTCTTACTTCTCATCTGAAACAAGTGAAAATGTCCACTGCTTTGCTGTATATGTGTCAAGTAACAAATGGGTTGTGTTCTGAAGACAGGAAATCCCATCAGTTATTTCAAGAGCAGGCCCTGTCACATATGCTGCAATCTCTGATGACCCAGTGCAAGCTGCCTAGTTGCATATCAATGAAAAGTTATTTGAGCTAGCTGACAAACAGCTCATAAACATCTTCCCCCCCCCCCAGTTTTTCTTTTCTTCCTTCCTTTTCTTACTTCCTTTTCTTTCTGAGAAAAGCTGAATAAGACTCAGAACAAGAACACTACCACTCTCATTTGGTTTTTGCTTTAATGTAGTCCTAAGGAAAGAGAGACTTGAATTTTGCTGTTCATCTATCACAGTGAAGGTTGATGCCTCCCAGCCTTATGGATACTCACAGTTTTTAAAAGAGCAGCTTCAAAAACCAAAGTCCTTCTTTTAGTGAATAAAACAGTAATGTTGGCTGTTACCTTGGTGGAGGTTAGAGCAGACTTTTTGTCCCTTCACTTTAAGAAGAGATGTAACATAAAAGAAAAACAAAACAAAACAAAACACAGAAATTGGTTTATATCCCAGAAGATTCCAAACTGGATATAAAACTTGTGTTTACAATACACTGATAATAAAAGATTAATGGAGTCTATAGATAAAAATGGAGGCTGGAAGGAATGTCATCAGTTTATTGGTATCAACAAACTGAAGAAATATGTTTTCATCTTCTTCTTTTGCATTCACGCCTGATGATCACCTTGTCTGTGTGATCTATGATGCCAAGAACTCAGGTCATTCTGCCTTAAGTAAGGACAACCTCCTTTGTGCTCCTTTTCAAGTCACTTACAACAACTCTGCCATCATGACAGGAACAGTTTCAGCATGTGGTTAGGTCAATAGTTGAATTTGTTACTTCAGGAAAGAACAAAAAGTTGCTAGAAATGTGCAGAGTCTGTATGTAAGCAGTCAGAAAATGGACATAACATCACTTCTTCATTTGTAGCTATTCCCTCTTGAGTTCTCTGAAACTGATCTTCTTGAGTCTGAAAAGCAACTAATGGCTTTGAGTGCTTTCACAGAGCACTGGCAGAAGAGGAAGAGTTTGCGGGATGTACAGATTCTCAGCACATCAAATTCTGATGCCCTTTATGTTTCTATAAATGTTGAGTGACTTGAATGCCAGTAGCAGATTAATATCCATGAAATAGTGAGACTTGGTGCAGTCTGTAGATTATTTATCTTCCTTTCTCCTGAATTCATTGCAGCTCCTGGACCTTGGTTAGTTGCAACATTGCTTAGAGTTACATGACTCAGTGATAACTCTACTTTTACTTTTGGACTAGGATACGTTGTTATGAATTACGCAGGAAAAAAATGTCTGTCACTCCACCTACATAGGACATTTTCTGGATATATGCAGATTAGCCTGTCAAATTACTCAGATTCATGTTAAATTGTGATGGCTTACTTCATTTGCTGCAGCCCATGAATATGAAATTAAAGGGTCAAGCTGTGTTAATTTTGACTTTTGCTTTCCTGACTTTTTTGACTTTGAGGTAGATGTTTAGTGATTCCCACTATGTTATCTGAAGGCTGTCTGTGGGAGATGTTCTCTTTAGCTCTTTCTTCCTACATTGAATCTCCATTGCACTAACAATAAGAAATACATTTTTTACACTCACATAACATTTTTCAGAGCAGTGTAAAATGCTGAATAGACCTTGTTAGCTATCTAGCTCCCTCAGAGTTATTCTTACTTTTGAGTAAAAGAGGAGAATGGCAGAAATATCTGTTTAGTTGGGAAATGTTGATATGTTAAAATGGCAGTGACTGTAAACTGCTTTTCTAGAGCTACCTATTAACTACCTATTGTTAATAAATAGGTGAAATTCTGCAGTGTGCTTCAGGATAGGAGGAGTTAAGCAGAATGCTATCTACCTTTCAAAAATAAATTTTGTGGACAAAACATTCATGTAATTAGAGTCAATCTTTCTTATATTAGTAGATGAGTTCTTCGGAAATAGCTGAACACAGATTTCCCAGTAATTTCATAGTGTCATATTTCCCTCTGTTGTAAACATATTTTGCAATAGTCTGTGAGCATGGCAGTAAAATTTATTCCTTGCCAAACAAACTATGCATCAGATCTCTAATATTGGAGAATATTTGATGCAATTACCTATGGTTAATAGTACTTCTCTCTTCAGATAGTATTGCTAAAGTCAATGTATTACTCAACATGAACAAACACATCGCAATCATCCCCTATGCCTTTCAAATACAAACAACATACTGATAAATTTGTATTCTAGCAGGTTGCTGTGTTCTAGGATGGATACATTGCTTACATGTAACGTAATCACACAGCAGTCTTGTGCATGCATATATAGTTATCATGATGTTGAAGAAGGGAAGAGTTTCTCATTTGGCAGTATAAGGTGATTGTGTTGATTCGATATCACAAAAAGACAGACTATTACTGTCTATGACAGCTCCTCTCTGCTTTTCTGAGGTCTCTCAATTGGTGTCTCTTTTTCCTCAGGTGAAATAGCTCCTTAAAGTTAAATAGAGCTAAAACCCCCGCTGCCTTGTGCTCCCATGGGTATTTCTATCAGTGTAGAGCTGAAAATCCAAATCATACCATAGATGGAAAATCAAGCCCAGATTTTCTCAAATAAAGGAAAGTAAATCTTGGTTCTCAAGAGTTAAACTGATGTTCATCAAAAATATCACCACTAATTACTGTGTAACAGCTGACTGTTAAATTGAAATTAAGCCTAATATGGATTCTTGCTGAACTCTTTGTTTCTTCATTAGATGAGTTTCACCTCTGATGAATACAGCATTAGTCTGTGCTCCATCATAAAACAAATGAATTAATAAACTACATTATATTTTAATCTGTTTAATTTTTAAATTATTTATTATTAGGATTGTCTGTACTTGATCTGCAGTATTCTTTGCTCAAGGAAAAAAAATTAGGGATTAAGTTTTTCTTTTTTTTTTTTTTTTTACAGTGACCTTTCCATGTAATAACCTACTAGCTCTCAAGTAACAAATGTCCAGTAAACAGGCAAGACATTGCTTGTACTAAAGACAAACAACATTATAGATTCAGCTACATCTCCAAAGAGGATTAACTTTTGTGTGCACAGTCTGTAGGTACATATTTCATAAACTTGTGAATATTTTAATTAATCTCACATAGAATTGAACAGAAACCAGAGTTTTCACTTTGTGGACAAGTCTGTTACTTTGAAACATATGGGTCTAATGAAAAACAAGCAGTACATACATTTCTCTGAAAGGAAAGCCATGGTAGAATGATGATTTAAATCAATGGAAATATTTCTTTTCTTCTAACAATATTCTTCAATATTTTTGGAAGAGCTAAACTATGAAAGTGGCTCCATTTCAAGGAAAGAGAACTGAATGTAACTTTTAAATAAATCTAAAAAAATGAATACAGAGATAAAACAGTGGTAGTATGTGCATCATCTTGTCTAATAACAATAAGAATTTTCATATGAATAGTCATATTGTTTCAATCTGTAATGAAATGTATTTTCCTAATCAAAATGTTTTTCTAATAGTATGCCTGTAAGATGAAAGTGATTTCATAATAGGTGTGCTATGAAATTTTTTGTATTTCCAGTTTTGGTTTTCATGACATGGCATTTGCTAGCAGAAAAATGATGCATCAGAACAAACTAGGTTAGCTTCCATTATATATTTGGTCAGGCTGCTGAAGATGACAAACCCACATTCTCTGACAAACCTGTGGTTTTTCTAAAGCCTACACAACAGAGGAATGATCTAGTGTATCTAAGGTCTGCTTAGATTTAGAAGTCTAGTTCCTTATGAAAACAGCATTGATTAAAATGCATCTAAAAGTAGATTATTAGAAAAGTAGATTTCACAAAACATTAGAGATATAAAAGTTAGGTGACTGGTGTAAATTAATTTAGGAAGAAACACTTCTGGATGGGTATTTTATTTAATTTATCATGCACAGCCATCTTAAAATGCGTCATTCACTGACATGCCCTCCGCTCTCTCCCCCCTGACTACAGGGAAACCTAAGTTTCAATTAGAGAGCTAACCTTAGGTGGATAAAACCAGTAGAGATAAAATCCACCTATATGAATTTAAGGCTTTTTGTTTCTTCCTCTCAGAAACATTCTTCAGCTTTTAGAGAGGAAGGAGATAGCAGGAGGGATGGAGCCAGGAAGATAGTTGAATAAACAACCACTACATTCTTCCTAGTCACAATTCCTGGTTACCTTGTTGAGTTAGCCTCCTTTTATATGCTGGTAAGCAATCAAATGAAATGCTCAAAATGCTTTATCATACCTGATTGTGGACTTTGTTTGGGGATTTTGGCTGCTGCTTCAGGGCTGGAGGTGGCACGCACACGCTGATTGGCAGAGCTATGGATGCTACTTGGAACAGCTGCTGAGATGTTTTTGCGAGGTTTCATGTCTTGCAACCACATTGGAGATGCCTCAAAGGCTTGCATTCGCCGAGAGTGGCTGTTAGCGTTGACTTTGAGAAATGCCTGGGCCTTGTATTCCTGAAGGTCTCCATAGTTGGCATCGGTCACCCTGCACTCATACAAGCCTTCATCCTTTTTCCTCACTTTTGAAATCTGCAGCTTGTGGGAGATGTCATTCCCTTGTACTTTCACTGTCTGCAAATTTGCCAGGAAAGAAAACCAAACAAACATGGTATCAGCTATTATTCTTTCTCTGGGAAGACTCTACTGATGTAGAGCCTGTCCAGAGAAGATCAAGTGCCAGATTGATCAGTGGTGTGATTGTGCTTACTGCAGGGAAGTTGCATCAAGGATGAGTTTGATTATTTGTATCTACAAGGACATCCGGCATCTTCTTTCCAAAACTTTAAATGGTTTGCTCTGAAATGCTAATTGGCCTCAGACAAACAACCCAAACTACCCTGCTCATTCCAATTAATTGCTTAAGATCATGAATGTTCTTAATGAACTTTCTTACTTAAACCTATTATCTGTGCACTTCATTGGTTAAACATTTCCAGTTAGTTGGCTTTATTGAATAATCCAGTTTTTGAACTAATTAACAATTTTGTTGGAGATGTTTGTCAATATTTAAACTTCTTTAATAACAATTTATTAGATTAGCTTGTAGTCTTCACTACATTGAAATTGCATATTTTGTATTCAATTTGTCCCCTGCAGGCATGTGCAAACTTCTGGTATTTTTTGTTTATTAGCCATAAGAAGACATCTTGTGTCAGGTAGTTCCTTTTGTCTCATTTATGTAAGTGTGTGTTGGGATCACCCTGCACGGCTTGACCTTAAGGAGAAGGAGCTGTGGCATTGAGAAGCTGGTAAACAGCTGGACCTCTGCACGGCTCGGCCTTGAGGAGAAGGAGCTGTGGAAAACAACTAAGAAGAAGCGAGGAAAACAGGAACACCTGCAGGCAGCGAATCCTGACTGTGTGAGAGGCGCATGGACAGCGCGTGATATTTTGTATAGAGCCAACTGCAATAATGTGTGTAACAAGCTGTAACCAATCATGACTGTGTGCGCAGTGACTAAGCGAAAATTGTGATATATATTGGAGTCAGACAAGACAATAAATGGCTTCGGAATATAACTCTCATAGAGTTGTGAAGTCCATCCTTCTCCCGCAAGTGTGTACTTATTAGAAGTCATATATCATTTCTGCAGCACATATTCAAAATAATTTTAAAAGTTGTCAGATAAAATAAGACTCCTGATTTATTTTTAATTGCCTTTAATAACTGAGGGTAATATAACATATTTTTGTCTTACATAATTAAAACATGCATGAGTAAATTATGTATCCAGAAATGTGTGATAGGTATTAGGATGCATTAGGAAAGGTAACACAGATTCCTTTCTGTATGTTCATCACTTTAGATAATTTATATTTAATTAATTGGTTATTACTCTCTATCTGGATTAATATCTGTTACCCCACAGGAAGCCAGTTAAAAGGGATTCAGTGGGACATGAAACTTCAAGTTGAAGAGCTCCTGAACCTGGTTTACTTCCACCATTACATAAACATGGATGTAAATGTTGCTTTGTGTCATATAAATGACAAGCAATGAGGAAACATCAAGGTAATGAATATACGGTAGATCACAAAAATGGAGAACTGTTAGACTGAAACTAGGCACGTGTTATTGGTGATTATACAACACATTGCTTCTGATAGCTTAGCATGCGGTAGTCACCAGTGTTGGCAAAGCAACTATGCTGCCTGCTTGATAAATTGAACAGCAATACTTGTGAATACATTATTGATTTAAGGTACTGGATGGACTTTACAGTCTGTTGTATTGTATCCAGCTCTGAATTTATACTTGGCAAACTGAGTTCAAAGCATGGGTTGCATACTTTCAGGCATAATATATGCAATATTAATTACACAGAAAGTGCTGGATAGTTATTTAAACCTTATTCAATAGTAATGTATCTCTACTGAACAGCTCATATTCAGAAAAAGAATTAAAGAAGTTTCATATAAGCCATATGAATGGAAAGAGATCTGTAAGTCATATTCTGCCTTCATTTGCCCCAATGCAATATGTGCGAAGTTAACAGTGTTCCATAGCACTAATGGAAAATGGAATTTGTTTTGTGTTTTGCATCTGAAATTTAGAAATAGTTGCAGTCAGTATGCACATACGTTTTCAATTTATGACTGATTATCATTTATAACCAATAGAACTGCTGTATTTCATTACAGTTTAAAAACACGGTTAGCATATTTTACCATTTCTTTAAAGGATATACTGAGTACACTTAAAAGTTTGCTCTCCTGTTCATGAAGATACTTTTCAATAGTACTAATGGAGAGTCTGTGGGTGCCTTCAAGAAAAAAGAAGGCGGCTAACTATATATATATTAACAAGTGTATTTAGACTGTCAACCTAATGTTGACTTTTCTATTGCAAATATAAAATGTTTTATGCAAGCTTATAAAAACACTGTATAAATATCTCATCGTGAATTATTGTCATGCATAATGAGAGAAAGAGATTTCTAACTTGAAAGATGGGACAAGCTTTACAGCATATACTGTGTCACAGATCTTATGGATTACTATGGGGGGTTTGAATGAGCTAGTATTGATAAGGAATAAATTGGCTGCTAGCACTATGTCTAGTGGAATAGTATCCAAAGACTACATGTGGGCCTCATATGTATGATGGTCTACAAATGTAACTGAAGATACGGTCCATGACACAAATGATTTATAGTGTACTGTGAGAAGTATAGTAGGAAATGTAAGTATGGCTAGAAATGTATGTGGTTTTGAATGTATCTGAATTCTAATTTATAAATGCCCCTCAGCTATACCTAGCTCTGCTTCAACCTGATGTAATTACTTGGTTAATTATTTGCAGGCATCAAAGAGGAGAAGAGTGAAGAATTTAACAGAAATTATTCATCTCTATCTGTTGCTGTTTTAAGCTTTGCTGGTACTTGCAGCTTTGGCTATAGTTAAAAAGCACTTCTAAATCAATAAGGGGAAAGGGATCTTATCCCTTCAAAAGGATAAGAAAGGGAAAACCCCTTTAGGTTCATAAGAAATACTCATGCCACAGTATCTCCTAAGTATCTGTGTCTTTCCACTGCAGTGAGCACCACATCATGCCCCCCTCATGATACATTTCTTAGTATGCTGAGGGATGAGGGTCTAAATTCTTCTGAGGTCAGGGGCTGTAGCTGTGCCTGACTTGGGATATGGGTCTGCTGAGGAAGGCATCCTTTCCCTGGACAAGGGCTGGAGCAATGTTGCTCATAATTTTGTTGACACAGTATTCTGGTTTAATCTCCAAATGGCAGATTGGTAGCTCCGGTGTCAGAATGCCACTTTCCTAGGAAAGAGCCTCAGAGGCCGAGGGTGGAGGTTACTCCCAACACGGAGATCTTGCCCAAAGACAAGCTCTTGTCTGAGCTTTTTCCTGCCAGTGGACATGAACCTGGGAAAGCACCCGTTTAAATAGTCGCACACCCACTGAAGGGAAGTGCAGCTTCGTGGCCAAATTTCAGCCTTAAAACCAGCTTTGTGGCTCGGGAAAGACCCGCCCGGCCGGGGGGGTCTGCCCGCGCCCTGTGGCCCCACTTACGCTGATCTTCGTGCCGTCGCTGTCCAGGTCCCGCTCGGGCAAGAGCTCCACCTGCGGGGAAAGGAGCGCCGCC